AGGCTTTGTTCGCGACCTCCACCATGACCGAACTCCGATCGTGCATGCAGAATGAAAATCAGTTCTTCACACTGTCCCGAACAGCCAAAATACATGTCGAAGACTTGGTGTCAAGCATCCCATTCAGCACTCAGTTCAATCTGCCCAATCAAGATCTGGGGCTCGTTGCATTTTCTTCTCCCGGCACAGTTGAAAATCACATCCGGATTCTAGGGATCTAGCTATCGTGCTTCTCGCCGCCTTTTTTGTCATCAGCTCTAGGACTCGACTCTAATCCTATGTAACTTTGAACCCAGCGGATATCATAGTTCTGAGTGGGATTCACTCTTTAGCTAACTTGTTTACATCCAAATACAGAAACCTGCATAACTCCGGCTCGTATTCGGTGTGTTACACAGCATAATCTCCCCGACGCTGACTTGAAAAGCAGTCATATGCCATGCTTCCCGTCCTCATTCCTGAATGCCTCCGCCACAAGATGCTCGCATAAGACGGTGGAAATTACCTATGAACTGGGGAAATGTGGCTCCAAGAAGCAAAGCTGCCTCGGGCTGAAACAGACCCATAAATTCGAGGCGAGTCCAGAATTGGCTGCAGGTCTTCATCGTCTGTTACCACCCAGGGTATCTATGTCGCTATACAAAGTCCCAATGCTTTTCATCGCTGCTGCTTCCACCTGGATTTGTACTAGCTCACCCAATCCTATCCCTGATAAGAAGGAAATGGTGAAGCAACCGCGAATTGTGTTTGTGGGCTCAAGTAAGCGTGCCAAAATGTTCAAGGTACGCCTTTAGCTGTGGTAATAATTCTTGAACTCATTAGCCGTAGCAAATCGTGATTTTTCCGCTACTCCTTGAAGCGCTAGCCATCTTATCACATTATTTATCTCAACACTCCCGATTGCTTACGCAGAACATCCATCTACTAGAGCTTTCACGTGCGCTCGTACCTCGCGGAGACCCTGAATTCCTTCGGCCGACACTCTCCTTTACCATCGGTGTCATTCTACTATTCAGCGCCGCCTGGATTCGCCACACATGTTATCAATATCTGGGACATCTGTTTACTTTTGAACTCTCCCTACGCTCCGATCACCACCTCATCACCACTGGTCCTTATAGCGTCGTACGACATCCTGCGTACACTGGCATCTGCCTCATGCTCCTAGGATTATATGCAGTGCTCTTTGGAGAAGGTTCCTATGCTCGAGTCAGTGGCGTGTTGCAGGCGGGACATGGAATCTTCGTGTTTAGTTTTTCGACCTTCCTCTGGCTGGCCCTGTTTGTTGCCTTCGTGAAAAGGACGGCTGTGGAGGATAGCATGCTGAAAGATCACTTCGGAAAGGAGTGGGACGAATGGGAAGTACGAGTTAGATGGAGATTGTTACCTGGAGTGTATTGAATACTGTTACTCGTATCTTTTGTTTGTTCTCTGGCGTTGGACAAAAGATAAGTCTCAGAATAATCTGCCATCTGGAGCTCATTTGCTTTATCGAAGGAAGGAGATCAACATCACATGCTCTGCAGCGGAAGAAACAAAACAGTTTGAGACAACGCCTAGCCCATGATACATTGCAAATGTTCTATAAAAACAAAGCTTTCCGAAACACGGCCCTTCTCCAAACGATCTATATATCCATACTTCATGGTTCTTAGAGACCTCAAAAATGACACTTTCCAAAGTTCCTTTACTCATCCTGACACTTGCCTCTGTGTGGACCAGTTGTTCTCCTCCTAATCCTCCTCCTGAAAAGAAAGAAATCGTAGACCGGGGAAGTTTAACCGGACGTGCTACTACACGACGACGTTTATTCGGGGCAAGTAGTTACACAGCTCTACGTTGCGCATGTCGTGACCGTTCTCCTAGTTCTTCGTGGCGGGCGCTATATTCCTCGAGACCCTGGTCATCGTGTCCTATGACGTCTCCAGCCGTTACCCACAATCTTCCCGCCTGTGGCAAGAAATTCCGAAGGTCTTGTTATCCAATGCAGATCCTGTTTTACTTCAACCCTCGCCTACTTTCTATGTTGGAGTGTTCCTAACTGCCGTGGGCGCGTTAATTCGTTATACGTGCTATCAGTATCTTGGCCGCCTGTTCACTTTCGAGCTATCTTTGCGAAAGGACCATCATCTCATCACCTCTGGCCCATACAATATCGTTCGACACCCTTCGTATATCGGCGCTCTGGTAGGGTTTATCGGACTATATGCAGTGCTTTTTGGGGAAGGCTCCTATATGCAAGTGAAAGGTATTCTTCAGACGTCCTCGGGAAGGGTGATCTTTTGTTGCATAAACTTTTTCTTGATGCATTTCGTTCATTTTCTGATAAAGAGGATCGATGTAGAGGATGCATTTCTGAGGGAGCGGTTTGGAAAAGAATGGGAAGATTGGGCACGGAAGGTTCAATGGAAACTTATCCCAAGATTGTATTAAGTCAAATAGATAGCACAGTCCAAGGCATAGACACGCTGTAGTTTTCTATCATGACACTTCCTCGCTCGTTATGTTGTTGATCTCTAGGCCAATCCCTAATTAACTTACCGTTCAATCAAGACCTCAACTTCAAACGATCCGGTCCTCCTTTGACCGGGTTTTTGTAGAAATACTCTACTAGGTGAATCGTGTCATTTCTGAACCGATGATGCACTTCTGTGTATCCAATCGTGGATAAATTGGTTAGCGCTCTGAGATTGTGAGGTCGGAGGTGACCAGCGAAGTGCTGAAGGTGGCGCCTGGTGTCGGATGATTATTGTGCGGCTCTTGTTCCGGTCCAGTTCAGAAGATTTCTGAGCTTTGAACTGGATTTCGCCTTCACGGAACTTGGTCCGGTTTAGGTAGAATCTGTGTCAGTTCCCTGCATAAAACTGAAGAAACATTAGAGCGGTGCGAAAATTCTGGGTGCCCCATATGGGGCTACGGAGAATCGGGTTGTAGTATGTACCTGAGTACCGTCCCGCGCATTAAGCCCAGTAAGAACCGTACATTTTACCAGCGATTACCTTGGATTTTTTTTATGATTATTATACATTTTAGACGATTTTCTCATATTTTAATCGATGGTTAGCGATTGTGCGCGATTTCTGTCGATTGGAATCCATTTCTTTAAGAGACAGTTTTCCACTACATTCTATTCAATTCTCTTATGAACGATTTCTATCAATTAAAGACGATTTCATTATAAGTACACTGGTGGCAATACAAAATCGACTTATCTAGCCCGCTTCGGCCACCAGACCCAACCTCTACCCTTCAATCTAATAGCACTAAGATTGGACCTAAGTGTACCATGGAAAGAGTAAATACTTAAAGCGAGTTGCTGAAAATATGCCGAATCAAGAAGTCGAGAAGTATATTTGCAGTGAGTTATAAAGATTGAAATAATAGGGTGTATGTAAGCATGCTGCTGGCCTCCGATACAAGGAGTTCCTGCAGTGTCCTTATATAGGTCCTGGGTTACAAATTGGCATCAATTTGTAAATCTGCCTTTTAGTGCAGCTGGTACACTGCTAGGACCTATGTGCTTACAGTGTATCTGCAATGGGTTTTTTTACCTACTTTAGAAGGGAAAAACCAATTGATTCGACCCTTTTTTCTTTACAATAGAACAGATACACTCTAATGGCGATGACGAGATGTGTACTGAAGTTGTCTAGAATCTATGAAAGGTAAGGCTTCAATTTCAATAGGAAGCGTTTATAGATGTGTCCGACCGTGACGCGTTCAGTTCGAACGAATCCTCTAAACGCCGAGCTGGACCTTTGGGCCACATTTTGCTGACCATAGAACTGGGCTTTGGACCCAACCCGGAGAAGTTCAGTCCGAGCTGAAGTTTCCGTACATCATGGAGTGAAGATTGCACTCGGCCCAGAATCTTATCCTCCCCGAGCCACTGTTATGGAGATGTAAAAATTTTCTGAAGGCAGTCTTGCTTGCTAATAGGATTGAAACAATGTAACCTCTTAAAGTGAATATCCTTCATTTTATCAAGCGTTCAGGTTAACTTATCGAGACTTGGGTGTCCATGTGGCTGTAAGGCCTTATAGTGAACGCTGACATCTCCAATGCTCTGGACATTTTAACTGTGCAATTGTCGGGCCGAAGCGCAACAGCCTTGACCATCCAGCCTATAAATCCAGCATGTATTCCATGGAACCTCCCTCAGACATGATTCCTCTCTACAAGGTTCCTCTGCTTATATTGACAGCTGCTTCTTTTCGGATCAGCTGCTCCCCACCGAACCCTCCTCCTGAAAAGAAGGAAATCATGGATCGAGGGGATTTGACGGGTCGAGCTACTGCACAACGAACTTTACTCCAGGTAAATAGATAATCGCGATCAGTTTTGAGCTCAAGTTGTTGATGCCATGACCATTCTTCCAGTTTGTGGTATTGAGTGTTCTACTCTTCGAAGCTCTCACCATCATCTCCTATGATATCTCGAACAGTCCGTGGCGAGAAATCTCAAAGATCTTATTACCCAATGGTGATCCTGCTTTGCTTCGACCCTCATCTACCTTCTACGTCGGGGTCTTTCTGGTCGTTGCAGGTGCTTGCATTCGCTACGCATGTTATGAGTACCTCGGCCGTCTCTTCACATTCGAACTTTCTCTGCGTGATGACCACCATCTCGTCACTTCGGGCCCCTACAGCATCGTTCGGCATCCTTCGTACACGGGTTTTTGCCTTGGACTCGTCGGATTGTACGCAGTTGTTTTCGGGGAAGGCTCCTATGTGCGAGCAGGAGATATTCTTCAAACCTACTTAGGAACAGTTGTATTCTGCATTATGACCTTCATATGGGTGAACCTTTCTTATTATTTCATAAAAAGGACGGAGGCAGAGGATGAATTCTTAAAGGACCGGTTTGGGAAAGAGTGGGAGGAATGGGAAAAAAGAGTTAAATGGAAGCTGATTCCAGGGTTGTATTGAGCAGGGAGAATTATAATACATGTGCTTTTTGGCTTCAGAGCCGGTTTTTGCTGTCCAAACAAGGAAAAACAATCCGACCTGCCTGGTTCGAACAGGCGACCCCAAGATAATCTTTCCATTTACAGTCTTGTGCTCTTCCAACTGAGCTAAGGTCGGACGCAATGACGATAAAAGTTAGATGCTTAGGCTTGCCATTTCTGGAACCACACTTTGCAAAGCGGCATGACTTGCTATCTACCCGATCAATGAAGGTAGCCGTTCCGCTGCGACATGGATTAAATCAATAAAAACGTCCAATAGCCTCTTATTCGCTAATTCTTCAGTGATTTCATCAGCGCTCTTCAGAAGTGACTATACAAAGATCATTTTCAGTAACTGGAACAATACAACGTCGGGATCGTACCTGAATCGGTGTTGTGTCGACAGGACAAGCTTGGTGTATCGACGCGAGTGATATGGTTTTGGGCGCAATCGTAACGCCCAGGATGCTGGCCTTGACCTACTCGGCATTTCGACTTTAGAAGTGAACAAAACTTGAGAGCCCATACAAACTCACGTCTACGTTGATGTTGAAATCAAACCCTTGGTTATTGAACACGCATTTCTCGAGAAGGTCCCCGAGAACAGCATTATGAGGATCGAGGTCAGTGGTATAAGTTATGTCTATTGGAAAGGTAATATTGGTACGAGCGTTGGGCTTGATTACTTTGTTGCTGATCGTTCCGTTGCCTATCTTAAACTTGGACGTATCGTTTACTTTGTACCAGACCTGGGGTATTGTTAGATATCTGTTGTACCGGTCCGAGTGCCTGTTACTTACGCTGACGCTGACGTTCTTCGCAGTGGCAGAAATGAAACTGGGGTTCGAGATTCTACCAACAATTGACGATAATGAGAGACACTCTACTTTGAAATGAATAAAAGGATGCAACATACGATATATTCACCTGCAAAGGCAAAGTGAGTCCTGTTACAACCTTTTGCGGGCTTTGGATCAGTGCTGTCTGATCAGTGTTATTCAAAGTTCTTTTACGGAAACAAGGAACGATCATATACCTGGTCTATCTTGATATCGGGCTTTGATATCGCAGCATTCGGTGGCCGTAAAAACTGGGCCAGAAAAGCTGAGCTCCTTGATCTAGTCAACCGTAGCAACGTGATGCTTACGAGGATAAGTGATAAAGCGATGCCCAAGAACAGGTACAACGCGATGAGAATTGTGCATGAAATAAATCTCAGAGCACGTCGGCCTCCAGAACCCTTGTTAAAAATTATAAGCAAGAACTAGAGCCAAAATATCATGCACAAACCCTAGTCCACAAATTGCCTTGGTATTGCTGTCGGTATTGCTTTACGTTGCCTGATGCTGTCCTTAAAATGAGAAGGCGGTCAAGGACTTGAATTGCGATCATCTGCGCAGAAAAGCCACTCACATATTCTCCTTTGACCAGATTGAAAACGTGTTTCCGCCGCCAGCATTGGATAAGCCAGCTTCAGGATATTGACTAACAGTATCCAACGGAAGTGAGAGCTCCAATGTCCTGGCAAAAGGATCAGATTCATGGTTATATATCGACTGCTTCAAGTTTGGAGATTGCGAGCTATTTCTCGGATTGAATGTAAAAGCATAAGAGTCGGAAAGATTATGTCCGCTTTCGGGGCGGCTAGGCAGCCAGCTGCGTCTTGGCATGTCGAGAAAAACCAGGCCCCAAAGAAAAAGAAGCGAAGCTACCGAAAGTCAAACCTCGCCAGCGAGAACAGAACGAAAAAGCAACCAAGGTCCAGAGACTCATTGCTGTGATACACTACGAATTATATAGCTGTGTTTGTGCTGGCCTTGCATAGTAGTCGAAGGGGTCGCAGTACAATATCGAGATGAAAATCAAAGCATGATGAAAACATCGATCGCAATAGAAAGCAGCCGGGGCGCCCACTTCCGGGTCCTGCCTTTGCACGAAAAAATACTGTGTTGTTGATCTCATTAATGCTGTTCTTATTGGGCTGATTTCAAGGCGGGAGGATCTGGGTGGGTTTCCCAGTCAACAATGACTCATTTTTGACAGCCAGCGTTCCCAAGAGCTGATATGGATGTTATACGGGAGGCTTTTATAAGTGAGCTGGCGGAGCAAAATGCAAGTCGATTTTTTCGAGAATCATACTAACATACTAACATACTAACCTTGGGGGATCAGACTAACGGTAATACGATTGGCGTGGTTGTCTGTCGGAGGGAACAGCGCTGACTCGCTGATTTTCTTTTTATTTTGACTAGCTTGGCGACGATTGCTTCTTGTGTCGAGTTCAAGACTTGGATGTAAGTAAGTATCTTACCGTAACGTTACATACCAGAAGAGAATGGTACCGGTTCAACGCTGGGTCCAATGAGCGGATGCGTCTGGCGGCAAAGGTGCTTCGAGAAGGCGATTCACGGAACGTCTGTCACAGAGGGTATCGCTTGTGACCGTGACTGTTCTGCTCACCGATCTCAACCACTGAACTCCCACGTACTTGTTCTTCAAGTTCTTGAGATGAGCGGCTGGCCGGGTTTCGGAGGATGGAATATGTCTTTTCTGTCTACCATTTGCCAATGCTAATCACAATATGGTACCGGTGTTCTCGCGCTTCTTATTTTTTCCTTCAAAACTTCTAGTGACTAGCATCTCGACCCTTTGTTCACTCGAAGGTTGAAGACCTACCAACAGCCTCGGAGGATGAAGAACGTGATGAGTTTGGAAGGTGGATAAGTCATTCCCAGTTTCTCAATGCTCTATGTTGGACTCCGCGTAATCGCCCTCAATAAGTTGACGCTTCATACTAGTTGATAGATATCTGAATACTCCAAAGTCTGCCATTACAGCAAGTTGCATATCGAAAGACCCCCAGATAAGGCCGACTTTAAACCACACGTGGGTGCTGGGTACTTTCAGAGTAGGTACAATGTATCAATATTCTAATATTTCTCGTATGGTCTGTTAACACTCAATGTCTATGTATATGAGCTTCCGAAATGATTATAAGCAGTCTGAGTCGCCAGCACTAATCACTGACATGACGACCAGTGACAAAATGTGGGTTATATTTAGTAAGGTTCGCCGTAGAGTACTTTCTGGGACGGCCTATCGATACGCAACTTGCTGTAACACTGACATCATTCAAACTCTAAAAGCTGTTTATATGTCTCCATCAACGACACTGTTCTAGCACCCACTTATTGAACCCAAGCATGAAAGCCTTCTCATCCGAGACAACCACAAGGACCCTAGTAGCACTGACAATACTCACTTGGCTGCTTTACCGTTTCAGCAAAAGATCAAGAGGCAGATTACCTCCAGGTCCTCGCGGTATCCCATTTATTGGCAATGCCTTTCAAGTGGATAACTCTCAGCCTTGGAATACTTTTACAAAATGGAAACAACTTTATGGTGTGCTCTTTTCCCATATCTTCCATCTCTTCCATCTTGAGGCTGACATAGTGGTTCATTGAGGCCCATTGGTATATGCTAACATGGCTGGCCAACCATTCATTATCTTAAATTCCAAAAAAGTTGTTGAAGATTTACTTGTTCATCGTGCTCACAAATATTCTGATCGCCCAAGACTCCTTGTTTGTGGTGAATATATGTGTAGAGGTCTGAACTTTGTTATCATTCACTATAATGAGCTGTCAGTGATAATGAATATACATGTCAGGTAGCAAAACTCACTGATTCATTTACATAGATGGCGAAAGATGCGGCGTGCAAGTGAAACTGCATTGGGACTCAAGATAGCCACCAAGTATTATTCTAAACAGGCTGATGAAAGTACATTGTTGGCATATGGTATCCTCAAAGATTGCAGTGCTTGGAGATACCATCTTCATAGGTAATCAATGTATGACTATCTCTAGTTGATATTTGGCCAACAATCCCTCAGGACTGCATCATCCAGTATTCTATCAATTGTATATGACCTTCCTTCTATCCAATCTCCAGAGCATCCTATCCTTGCCTTTATGGATGAGATGATTTCAACTACATCAGTGGCTGTGCTGCCAGGTGCTCATCTGGTAGATACCTTCCCTATTCTTGATTATCTTCCAGATTTCCTTGCAAGATGGAGACAAAAAGCAAGAGCAGATTTCCAGCGGTGGTCTGCAACTCTTGAAGAGATGTTTCTTCAAATCAAAAACAAGTCTGTAGGTAACTGAAGTTTGTGATTATGATGATGAGTTTGAATTAGAGCAGCTCAGTGGCATGGAGCAAAGACCTAGTTTTTGTCTTTCTCTTTCAGAAACCCAGCCTCAACTTGGACATGGAATGTCAGATATTGAATGCTCTTGGCTTGCTGGTGCTCTCTAGTAAGTATTTATTGATCTCTACAGATCATAATCTAACTTTTGGTTAGTGGTGCAGGCCAGGAAACTGTGGGCTTGTGTTCATTGTACCATTTTTGTTTCTGAATGATGAAACATATCACAGACTACAGGGGTTCTTCAGTGGTTTCTCTTTGCCATGCTTCTCTTCCCCAAAGTACAACAACAAGCTCAGGAACAACTTGATGCAGTTGTTGGACAATCAAGATTGCCATTGCTTGCTGATATGAACCAGCTTCCCTACATACAAGCAATTGTCAGGGGGTAAGTAGCACCATGATTTCCCTGGCTTTATCCAAATCTCATAAATAATAGATTTTAAGATGGAAGTCCCCAGTTCCAACAGGGATTCCTCATGCTTTGGCTGAGGTATGTTTTGTAAAATCCTGCTTTCTAACTTAGGTACTTGGCCCTAAATAAGCTGTGGCTTGAATACATAGGATGATTACTATGAAGGCTATCTCATCCCCAAAGGCAGCATTGTCTCTGTTAATGCATGGTTAGCTAATTATTATCATTCTAACAAATCAATTTCAAACACAATACTTTTACAGGTCAATAAACCATGATCCAGATATCTATGGTCCAGATGCAAGCCACTTCTGCCCTGAACGATATTTGGATGAGAATGGCAATCTCAAAGATCCTCACAATGATGGCCACTTTTCATATGGTTCTGGATATCGGTTTAATTCATTCCCTCTGTACACACAAAAACACTTGCTCATAACTTGCACTAGGATCTGTGTTGGGCGCCATGTTGCCAACAACTTTTTGTTTATTGCATTTGCAACCATTCTTT